AGTGTTGATGCTTGAGTCACACTGATTGTTATTTGAGGTTAATATGACAGCACAAAAGATGTGTGACTCTTTAAATGAGGTGGAGTTCAGTTCTTGCTTTAACTCGCTAAACAAGTGCATGATGCGAAAAAATCCCGCAAGTTTGTGGCACCCTCACAGACATTACGAGCTACTTTTGCGTTTAAGTTGACCAGGAGGATGACAAACGGCTTCACCTCGTCACCTTCTACCTTCCCTCTGATTTACGCATTGGCAGAAAAAAAAGGTGGAATTGGCAGGGGGAGGAGAAGCATTGGTGCTGGAGATTATAGGAGGGAAAAGCAATTATTTTTGACTCCATTTAATGATTTAAATGCGCATATTGTTTGCTTTAATGCTTTCTTTGTCGCTGTAACCTCTATTGGGCTGGCTTTTAGGAGTGTGGTGAATTTTCATGCCTTCACAGGATTTTCTGACCCTTGCTTATGCCACCACAAAGGTGAATAAATCAGCTCCAAGCCAGTAAAATATTTTAATCACCATTCCATTTACATAAAAGTGGATGATTGAGTGAGTGAGTAAGTGGGTGACTGAGTAAGTAGGTGAGATCAAGCTATTTCTTATCTCTTACCCCAATCTGTGTCTGATAGATGTTTCTTCCACTTCATACAACCTTGACGATGTTAAATCACCTTTAGGCGCCTCTGCTACAGTCTAAAAGCCCAATTTTGGGAAGGCGAGATATTAGAAACCTAAGGCAAATTTTCATTGGCCAATTAAAGTGGCGTTTTGTGGGTTTGGTCTCTGCCGAAATTCTTTTGAAACTGATATAATTATTTCGTTAATTAAAATTGTGTTAGCTAATTTAGGATAATTTATCAAAGTAGTCTCATAAATGACTAATAAATTTATAGAACGACCTCCGTGTCGAAATAAGGGCAGCTGTAATACCAGCGCAAAGGCGAATTCGCCATAATTTTGGTTCCTATGTTATCAATGCGCATAGGTGTAGTTACCAATCAAAATCTGCTTTTTATAACCTTTGAAGTATTATCGCCTTCCTCTAACAAAAATTTCAACTGGAGGTCGGGTTTAAATAGCCTTATATTCCCACATTTTTGAAAGCCCCTTGGTGGGATTGTAACCGGTGTAAACCATCAGTGAATCTAGAATGCAGCCGACTTCAACTCTACTCGACAACGACCTACAGTTTATAGTTATTTTAATTATCAGGAACAAATGCATGTTTTGCATGCAGAAGATCATCTTGCCTTTGAAGGTTCAACCGTGCTACTTGATTGTTACGATGATGTGCACATTGTGGCGCATGTCACGTCTACATAGCTCGATCCCGGAGGTAAATCTTCTTTGTGCCACTTGTCAGCCACTTTCACTGATCTTCGACGTCACAGACAAATGAAAAACTGCTTGTTTGAGCCTAGTGATCAACAATTCGAAACAATTTGTCACTTTAGTTCTAGCTAATTGACAATAAAATGGTGTTTGACCTCACAAGGCACAATTTAATGACCGCGCATGGATATTGCGATTATCTCTAAGGCCAAGGCCCTATCAACAGCTCCGGCAACATATTTGACGTTGCACGTGCTCATTTGAGGGTTGTCATGAGAGAATCTACCACCAATGGTTGATCACAAGACTTCGAAATGCCTTTTGAACTAGGCTGGTTCGAGCTTCATCCGTCCTTATAGAAAAAATCTCATAGAACTGTCCTGGCAGCATGGACACCAAACAGGCTCCCACGAAAAGTCTCCAATCAATGTAACTCATGGAATTACTTACCAGAATGTTTCACTAAAATCAACAATCCCCGTTTTTTGAGCATTTCACCATTTTTACGCTTTTATTCGAATTCTGAAACGCTTACGCAATCACCAAAAGTACTAACATTCCATTATAGCTTTTGCTGCCTGTTTTTAATAAACGAATTCCCCCGTGAGAACTTATCAGCTTCATATCACCAGCGTAAAAACATCCAACAAAGGTATCTTCATAACAGTACCTGTTTCGCAATCAAAAAGGTAACGCTGAGACCTTGGAAAATGTGGGAGATCCGCAGCCTAGTTGAAACAGTTGTTGGACTTACGAGGGAGGGAGAGAAAAACCCGTGTTATGGGAAAGGCTATTAATTTCGTCACATAGTGCAGTTAATGTAGTTTTTGTCATAGAGTCGAATGAAAAATACTGCTAAATGAAAGTGACTCTTAAATTGACCTTATTTTTAATTAGTGGTCTAATTTAATGAAGCACAGTTAATACTTTTGCTGAGCCTGCTGCTCACGTAAATTGTTTCCTCCCGTTGAAATTGAATAAGATGTTATTTAATTGGGTTTTAGCCTAGCAAGCAGTTGTGCCGATGCATTATTCATCGCTGCTATTTGCCTTCTGACGGCTTAAACTGACGTTATATTGATGCTACATTAAGCATTTATGTGCTTTTCGTGGAATTAATTATGTGGTCCTATTGAGTTTTGCCTGTAATAAAAAAATCTAGAATTCATTTGACATGATGTCAAAAAATAATATAACTTTAAAATAGTGAAAATAAAAGGTCAGTATTTGTACCTTGCAACTATTAGATGACTTCTAAATTGCAGTTGATTTTGTGAAGTGATTTCGGGGCGCCAGTCATAAGATTCTCCCACCATAAAATCAGTAATCGATAGCTAGTGGGGTCGATCCACTACTCGCGAAATGTGATAGGCTAACCATGCACCAATCAGGTTAATTGTTCAATAACTATCATTGATTCGCTAAAGGTGAGAAGCGCAAGGTGACTTTGGTTACTCGGAGCGTCGCCATAAGGTGAACTTTGGCTCCCAAAAAGGTGGAGGTTTGATGGTCTTCAGATCACGTGAAAAAGCCTTGGAAGATCTGTGCATAATCCATCCCCACCGAACCAAGCTAATCAAAGCGCATACATGCCCACGTATTCAAGCCTTCACATTACACGCCGGGTGCACGCCACCCTCTAGAGTGCAGTGCATGAATGTGCTATGAGGTGTTTCTATGCCTGCACTTTCTAGTTGACCTGAGGGTCGTTTGTGATTGCAGTGAATGTATCTCTCACAGCTATTTCATGCACCCCGTCTGAGTGTGCTCAAGCTAGTTCAAGAGTGAAGGCGAAGCCTCTGATCACGCAATGAAGTGATGCGTGTCTAGCCTAAACGCCAAGGTCACCGAACTCCTTGAGGAATTTAAAATCGTTTCGTGCACATATTAGAAAAGGATTAGGAAAAGAACGCAAGGTGGTGATTGTATGATCATTCGGCATTTGACACTAAAATGGAATCATTCAAACGGCTGTCAACTCGATTAGAAGGACCCGGGGATGGTGACATAGAACCTTTCCGAGTTTAAGTCCAAGTGGAGTCTTACCTCACCATCTGATGGCCTTCGTGTGAAGTGGTCTCATTGCGCTTTGTGAGCGGTTCATGATAGACTCTTGTGTGATGAATCAGGCGGCTAGGCATCGTTTACTTTGAGAGTACTTAGCACAATTCCTAGTTGCGGATTACTCGTAGGACTTTTCTTCAAGAGAGAAGATACTTATCGGTGGGATGTGGCGAAATTCATTTCTATGGTTCGCTTAACACTGCGTTAAATTATGTGTGAACCTAAGTCCCCGCAGATTGTACTTCCACCCGGTCAGCGTGGCCTTCGGACCTTGCCGGTAACCTGTCAGCCCTTCTGTACGTCAGTAGTATACCTCCTGTCATGGTGCTGTAACTTCTTACGACTTCAGGTAGGATTCATTTGGAAATTTTCAGCGTACTCGGAGCAACATACAGACCCGATTTGCCACATTCGAAGAACAATTTGCATGAATCCAAATGATGTGCTACTCCCTACCGAATTCCATCGTGGAAAGCCGATGTTGAGGTGGACAACTCCAAACGTTAATGAAGATGTGGTTACTTGATATATTATAAGCTAAGGATTTAAATGAGAAAAGTGGTTCTGGTGAACGACAATGACCTTGAAACCTGACCGGTCTCGTGAGGCACCCAAGCTGCAACCAAGGCAGACCAGATCACCATGAGTCGTAGTGAAAGCAGTGCATCCTTTTGGAACTTGGAGCCTGAAGTCTAAAATGCCTCTCCACCTAAAGTCAGACCGTTCAACTGCCGGAGTAGTGAAGCGCATAACGAAGAGTTGGTACCACAACCTATGTGAACCAGGGACAGGCCTCCAAGCCAGAAGCTATCCACACAGCTGTTCTTCTTCAGATCCGGATTGCTAAAAACACGCTATCACCCATCTCTGCAGACGTAAAATGCTAGCACCCTACTCAGTAACAAAGCAACCATTTAATAGTCTTAGTGACTTCTGTTACACCATGGACTTCCCTCTGAGGCCAGGCAGATCTCCTGGCTCTGCCATGCATGGACGAGGATAGTGAATACACACTTTCAGGTTTCTTATAATCAAATAAAACTTTTCCGATGACCAGACCATCCTTTAAGATTTAGGCCTCTCCACCACGTTAAAATCCAGATTAACCGAGTACAACTAAGAAAAAAAACATTTCAAACTCAAACCCGAGAGAGTGTCTACAGCGGCACACCACCACTACTGCAAAGATCTTGGCTTGAGTAAGGCAGTAAAGAGATAAAGAGGAAATTGATACTTTCCCATTTTGCATATAGAGCCGGAAACCTGAAGGATCAGAGATGGAAGGAGGACGAGGAGGACAACAATGTCTTCTTCTGGCTGCTTCTTTGTGCGGCACACCAAAGCTTTCCCCTTCTGCCGTCGTCTCCGTGCGTGCACGTGATCTGGTGCATTTGTGCGTAACTAAAGGGAAGTGGGGTGATGAACAGGAGGGGGCCGAGTGGCTGAAAGCCATCACAGGAAGTGTGAAAAAGAAACAGAACAATATACACGGTAAGAGGAAACCAGGATGAGTGATTTCGTGCGATAAATACGCCAGACAGTGTGCGCACGACAGAAAGACACAAGGGGAGAGGGTGAACCTAAGAGGGGAGAGAGAGGATGACCTAGAGCTTCCCGGCACCGAATCCGTCATCGCCCATGACAGCAGCAGTGGTGTTCGAGGAGGGCAGCAACTTCGTCGGCCCTGCAGCAACTCCCCCTCCCCCGACGACGGGCATGTTGTGCGCTACGGCATTGGAGTGTTGTTGAATAGCGGAGGACTTCTGGCGGAGAAGGGTCCAATCAAAGACAAAGTCCCAATTGAAAGCAAGAGCCTTGAAGAGCGCGCGGAAGTTGCTCCGATAGAGGGTGTAGTCAGGCGTAGCATCAAAATTCAGATTGCGCACATGTGTCAGATAGAGCGCGAACTCGGGCGGAAAACCGCGGCACAGAGACTCTATCGAGGTGGACACCTTCTTCTCATGAATGCGCTCATACTTTTGCTTTTTTGTGTTCGCCTTCAAGACAAATCGAGAGGACGCTTCAAAAAGGGAGCAAGAAATGACACCTTAACAGGAACGGGGGGGGGGGGCTAATTTCGAATTAGGGTCGATCACAAACGTATTAGGAGGCAAAATTCAGGTATCATAGTGGATAAAGGTCTTTAAGCGGGTAGTCATTTGTATAAAGATGAAACCACAGCCAGTCGGTGATTTAATGAACGGAGTGAATGCACTACTCTCGCCTTAGATACCGCAATTCTTAAACAAAAAACAACATTGGGAGAGCAATCGCAAAATGTGTATGGCCTTTGGTACAACAATTAAAAGGGCGGTTACATGTGCATAGAGGAACCCATTAGTCAGCGATTTTCAAATTGGAGATGAGGGCCAGTATAACACAAATTAACAGCTAATTTCGCTAAAAGCAATACGACTGTTAAATGTATGGATAAATTTGAAAGCCCTAGGATGAGAATACAGTGGGAAGTGAATTAAGGACCAAAGCCGACGGCAGATTGCCCAAAGGTAAAAACACATTGCCTCTTCCAAAACGATCATTAAACATGAATATCAATAATATTCAATGTTGGGTGGAGCAGAGAAAACGTGTCTAGCTGTTACAGTGGAGAGATAACTCCAAACACATGATACATCCCTAAGATAAGAGACTACTGTCACCTAGTTGATGAATGAACTGTGTAGAAACTACGAAGCACGATAGCTGACAACGTGTGTAGATGGATTGGAAGGAATTAAAGAACCCTCTAATTGTTACCTCGGTCTAAAACTAACACTCACTTCAAAAACAAGCTGTTGCCTCTACTTTAAGCAGTGACATGATACTGGAATATGGAGGAAATCGGTTTCAGACGCTACAGCTGAACATGCTACAACTTCACCAAAGGCAGATTTACATTCAACCAACGAACGAATGAATTACGCGGATTTGTGGTCCACAAACGTGAAGCAGAACCCTTGACTGTGAATGTTGCACAGGATGCACATTAGTTATTTAAACACGGATTGGGAGGATGAGTGATCTAATTACATAAAGCCGCAATGGAAAGCCGAAATCCTCGCCAGATGTGACTTCGCTAAGGGAAGAAATGGATTTCACACAAAGCGCAACGTTCAACAAATCGGTTTGCGGGAACAACAGCTTTTACTTCCAGAAAAAGGTGGTACTATTTGCTTTCGACATCGATATATTAGAATAATGCTTTAAAATATATTTAAACCGTTAGTACCCGTCGACATTAAGCTTAAAAAGCGAGCAACAGACATGACTATTAAAGAAGGCAATTTGTATGCCGTAGAGGCGTAATTAAAAATTCGACCTTCGTGAGATGAATAGGAACCCATAACGCAACCCCAATTACTACATTTGTGTAATGCATCTGCTACGTAATGTTGAACCACCGGCTTTAATTGTACTGTTGACATACCAGGTCTCACAGGGAAAATTTTTGGGAGAAAAATTACCAAAAAAATGATTTTAGGCATTCTGGCTATTTGTGGAAACACCTGAGTACTGACATTTCAACAAAGTTCCTAAGCATCAGATCTGAACTTCATGTAGAAAAAAACTATCTCAGAGAAAGGAGACTCTAGCGTCCATTCACAACCATTCATGAATGAATTGTGATTTAGTAGGATACCTCTCCCTTATAATTAAGCTAGAAGGAAAGGGTAGCGAGTGATCACGAGAACCGGAAAACTTGTTTTACACGTTTAGGCACACACACACACACACGATCATGACATGTGATTGGCAGCAAGTGTATGCATACCCCTCAGCACTTGTCTACGAAGTAAGGAACATTGGAGCCGCGCAAGTGGGCCAACTAATGCAAATACGACTGTGGGTGTGCGATTACATAATTGTAGAGGAAGCAGAGAAAAGTTTGTACCTATATCTGCCTTCAATGTCGCTAATTTCAATCAAATACCTCCAAAATGGAATTTGCAGTGCAGCATCAATGGATGGTTAACATTTAACGATGCCTACGGGTGCGTAGGGCAGTTAAGGACAGTGTACAGGTCAAAGCTATTTACGCAGAATATCAAAATTAAATAACGTCAGTAAGTGACTTAAACGACGAAAGTGCCACTTAGTCTGGACTCGAAAAAAACTCACGCGGAGGCCTTGCCAAGGGAGAGATCCACAGAGGAAATACATGAGTACATAGCCTAGAGACTCTAGATCATCTCGACGAGACTGTTCAATTCCAGCATGAGCGTTGATGCTGGCATAACGAGCAGTGCCTGTTAGAGCCTTATTCTCTTTGTAACTTATGTGGCGGTGGGTTCTTCCATCCCTGTTAAAGAGCAACGAAATGAAACACAGAAATTGTTACGAAGAAAAAGAGAGTAAGGAATAGACATAGATGAAGAAACACACCTGAACTTTTTGGCTAAACCAAAGTCGATGATAAAGAGCTTATTGCAGTGTTTACCAATGCCCATCAGGAAGTTGTCCGGTTTAATGTCTCGATGAATGAAGTGACGAGCGTGAATGAACTCCAGACGCCAGAGCATCTGGTCAACAAGCATTAAAACTGTCTTCATTGTAAAGCATCGACCGCAGAAATTAAAGAGCTCTTCCAAACTTGGTCCTAACAAATCCATGACCAAAGCATGATAGGCATCATTTACACCATCAAGACCGAAGTATTGGATGTGGGGAAGGCCGGGTGTGTCCTAGCACATAAAAAGTATTCGGAAAAGTGACCTACCGCAAGCAACCGGTACACCCTGCTCTCAAAAAATAACTGTGGATGTCTGGCTGAGACCTTTTCTAACTTAACAGCAACCTCTTCACCAGTTTCAATATTAATTCCGAGGAAAATTTCACCAAAAGAACCGCTTCCGATTTTTCGCACAAGCTTCCACTTGCCATTCACAACGAAATCTGACGTTGGTCTTGCATAGGAATCACCACTCTTAAAAAAACATTAGCGCTAAAACAAAGGGAACCAACCTTATCCGTAACCGGCATCTTTTGGGTCACCAAGCAAAAGTTGTAGTAGTTCCTAGTGTCGACTAAAACAAAGCTTTAAAACCCAAACAACTGATAAAATTTTTAAGCTATTTAACTTAGATAAAAGCCTAAAAGAAAATTAAAATTGTTTCCTGCGATGGTGCGCAATTTGAAGATGACACCCTTACCCATGCGTTTGCGCGAAGCATGCCCGTCCGGAGGGGTCACATAGCTCCGAAGAACACATACATCGATACACTTATCAAAAAATTCGACAATCAATGTAGGTCTATTTTCGGCTGTTATTATATTTGCTTGCAGATGCTGCTTTTGTCATTACCAATTCCAAGATAGCGTTACACCCCATAATATACTGTAGTGCAGATTTCTGTGACCTATTCTGCTTTACCAAAGCGCAGTTGCTCCTAAAATCGTCGAATTTTCCATTTTTATGCGGAGAAAAAACATCTTCCGAATCTATTCAGGCCTTGGCTAATGGATTGGTTTGTGATCGCGAGACGAAGCTTCAGCTCAGTCTCTACACTAGAAAAGGTACTTTATTTCATCCATTATCACCAATGGTTAATTTTTTTTTCAGATGAAGTTAAGCAATGCGAAGTCACAATTACTCCACTCACAGATGAGTTCGGTCGCGTTTCATTACACATAATATTTTTCGAGGCAGTCGAGGAAACTCATCTAGAGAAAAGGCAGACTCGATGCACTAGCGCGCGACGTATATCTAGTATTGCTACCATGATCTTCCACCGTGGCAAAGACCCGCCCAGAAACAATCTCAAACGCATCCACCAAATGAGTCAATCCGTGCGTCATGAATTGCTACCCAAGGAGGTCGTTCTCAGTCGACGACCATCCGAGAACATTCCTGCTGGAAGCAATCACAAAATGTCAATATCTAGCCTCTTTATCAACGACCTCAAAAGCCTGTCCGAACCCGCCAACACGGAGAAGAGTAAGCTTACAAGTATTCTCCCCCTTTTTAACCCTGACATCCTAGGTGCTAGATTCGATTCACTTAGTGTAGAGACAGCTAACTCCGTCACAATTCGTTCCTCAGTCCAAACCTCCCGTGCCTCTATGGCTAATGAGCCAATCAAAAAGTCAGAAGTTCGTCCAAAGTCCTGTTCCAATGCGCCACCATTGTGGTCTGATCATCAGTCCTCCGAGACTGAGTCCACTACGGATCGTGCGCGTCCAGCCTCAGCAGTCCTTGGTGGAAGATGTAGTAGGTATGCTCTGCCCTCACTCCTGGCTCGTGGGAGCCGGCTTATATCAGCTCCTGCCTCGCAGACATCTATTGTTCTCAGTGACGCGGGAACCCTTCAGGTGGTGCTGGGGAAACATGGGGATCAGGCGAAGTCGCATGTCACCGATACCTTCGCGAAGGTACGCTTAACGTTTCTTGTCTTACGCCCCACCCTTTGCGAGTAATCGGTTTTTTTAATCTTTCTGCTTTTTCCCTTGGGATAGATTTTGTCACTGGACAAGGACCTTCATGAGAAGCGAAAATTGGAGTCAAAAAGGATGCACAAGTACACCATCAAGCACTACAGTCCGATCCGAGCTGTGTGGGATTGGTTTATTCTCCTTCTTGTCATCTACACAGTTATTTTTACGCCTTATATGACGGCATTTCTTCTCAACTACAAGGTGTGTTGATGACTTTTGGCATTATTCGGGTATTTTAAGTCTCATTTTTTGATATTTAATCTTTAATTTGGTTTCTTCTCCTTTGTTATTAAACTTGCTTCCATGGATGGACTCAGTACTAAGTTGCACTGGTTTTTATCGTAAGACCTTTTGGAGTTTGTCTAGAACAGTTTCAACTATAATGAGAACGTTTTTTTTTATTTCAGCTCATGGTTTATACATTGCTTTGCTCCATTGAAGTAGCTATTACTGTTTTACAAACATTGAGATCTTCAGATTTGTTAGATTACTGGGAGGAGGTTGATTTATGTATTCAGTTATGGAATTGGTTTATGATTGCTTTGACCCTTTTATTACTTATTTGTCTTCCACTCTATCTAATAAATCATTCATTACTTCGGTGTTGATGTGTTGATTTCAATCTAAAGTAACGCATGACCTTCCTAAGTACATGCAGTGGTTGATTTATGCTTTATCTTAGTGCATACATTGTTTTGGCGCAGTATAGCGATTGAGGCACTTTAAATCCATTAGTAAATCTCTAGATTTCAGAATAATGTCGAATAGAGCTTCACAATCAACTAGGCAAGATTACTTGTGGTGAACTTGTGTTTGCAAGTTTTGCTACAGGCTTATTTGTGCCTTAAGGTACAAAATTTGGGCGTAGCCTATCCGATTTACTTGCTGGCCCGGTGCTTATCTGCTTAATGTATGGATACTTTAAACGTGAAAATGAAAGAGCTGTGATATCCTTTTCGCGCCATTTGGTGAATTTTTACAATCACGTTCAATTCCCTTTCACTTGAAGTTAATTTAATCACTTGTAATGATTGTTTCAGGTTTTATCTTGAGATTCATGCTTTCCGTTGCTCCCTCCTGGGGCTTGACACAGTTTTGTTATTCTCTAATAGGCGTGTGTTTGATATCTTAAACGGTAAAGAATCCAAGGGTAAATGTTTCTTTTAGTCTGTGCCACTTTCTTACTACTACTTTCAAATAACTTAGAGGCATTTTAAGTGCATAGAGTAGTTGCCTCACTTAGTCTCGCAATCCATCCACTTTTTTCAACGTGTTTTGGTAACAGTACCGCGTCTAAACACCTTTAGGTGACTTTCAAATGTGCTGGGACTTCAAGTTTGCATGGGCCCTCGAGTGCGTTACTTATGACTGGTCTGTTGTATATTTGGACATTTTAAATTTGAAAGGACGATCGCTTCTGTGCTAATATACCCTAGCATTGCCTTCAATGTTGTACAATTTTCGACTTCTTAGAGTACGTTCACTATTTGCGCATTTCATCGTCCGATCTGTACCATACAGTGTTGAAATGATGCGAAATTAGCTTTTATATGCAATAACAGAATATCTAAGGAAGATTATTTAGCGTTTCCTTGAAAATCTAAGCAAAAGTGCTTTAGCGGTTAGAAGGATTAACGAAAATTCATTGGAACGATGGAACTGATCGAGGAATCATGTTGTCAGACTAGATAGCTTCAATCATATCAGTAGCAAAAAACCACCCATTCTGAAATTGGCAAATTGTTACAAGTCGTGGTTGGAGGTTAGCGTTCTTGGCGGGTTTAGGTACGGCAGAACCTGAAAAGCACTTTTCAATCGCTAAACTGCGTAAATGGGTTTGACTCTCCGATTTGGTTTATTCAAGATCATATAAACGTTACAGGAGTTAAGCGTTCCAGGGATTCGCTAACCGAACTGTCCATGCCTTCATTTGTATGTTTCCTTTATATCATACCTTTTGGAGTATTAGAAAATTGTGCCGTTTTGTATGTTCCAATTAAGCATCAGAGACAGTATCTCGATTGGATTCGTTGCTTGTCTTAAAGGGATTCAATTGCACCCACCCTCACCGCAGATCGCCAGGTCATCGGACCATTCTGGGTACGGTGGATATAATGGTGGACATCATGTTTGTATGTGACATTATCATCAACTTTCGCACCACCTACGTTAATAAAAACGACGAGGTAGTTTCCAATCCCAAGAAGATTGCAACACACTACCTCAAGGGCTGGTTTCTCATCGACCTCGTTGCCGCCATCCCTTTTGATGCGCTTTTCTTTCGCTCGCAGGAAAAACAGGTATGTCACCTTCCTCATTCAGACATTCCTTTATAAAAAATTCCTCATATCTTTAAGGTCCTTTCTTCCATGTGGTATGCTGGTATGCTGCTTGTAAGGAACTATTGAATGGGTATCCATTCCCTGATTCATAGGCTTTAGAGTTGTGTCAATAAAGTGTCAAGGCTGATATTGTTGAGTGGGACTCAATGACCTCTTTTCTATTTGTATGAGCTTTTGTTGACATTTTCACCGATTCTTGTGGAGGGTTTTCTTCTACTGATATTATTAGTTTTTGAAAATAGCTAATTTCTTCTTACTTTTAAGATACACTAATGCTTCCTATTTTATACTTTAATCGAAAGTGGCGAGTTTTTCTCCCTGAAATATGAGATTTGAATTAATCCCACCTCTCCCCATTGTAATCAACTTCCCCCTAAAGAGTTAATTTCCTAAAATTTGTATGATCAAAAAGTGTCTTAAATGTTTTCATTTGAACTACTATCGTCTGCAACAAATAAGGTTGACTATTTTATGCCTTCATCAACGCGCTTTGAAATGCGTTAAAGGGAGCTTTGGATTGGATTTAATTTATCGCCATAGCTCTCTCTCTTCGGTGGGTGCTAGCGCTAATCATTAATTTCCCTCAAGGGTTTAGCCTCTCTGCCGCTGCGAGTCTTCACTTAATGTTCTCTGTGTTAACCATTTTCTTCGGTGTGTTAACCTTCTGCTCCCAAAATAAACAGATCTCTTTTTCCCTTAGTTCTATTTCATTTCTGGAACCTTGAACAGCCCGTATAGGATTTTACGGAGTCATTTTTATTCACTTGTGAAAATTAGGGTTTGCTGAAACGATTTGAAGGTTTCAGGAGTCGGTTTCCTGCTCTACAGACGTTCAAAGGTCATTAGTTTCTCCTCCTTGGAACACCAGATTTGATTCTGTTCCTACTGCGATTTGCTTTGTTCCAATGTGTTGCTTCAGTAAAATGATGTGATGTAAAATGCGATGGGATTTAAACTACTTCCGTCCGTAAGAAAATAGCCATCTCTTCCCTACCCCACTCCAAGGACTTCGGGAGTGGAGACTATATTTCCTTTCCACTTTGTAATTGCTAGTGCCCACGATGTTGGCCTTTCAACAGTAATAATTCTAAATATTTAATTGCTTTATCAAATCGAGATTTGAATTTCCGATATAGTATTCTCGTTGCTCGATGTTGCTCATTTCTTAGGTGTGTGTTAATCGGAAATCCTATCTCCCTCATCTTTTGTACACAGCTCTGGACAAACGCTATCAAAATCCGTTAAATTACTTAGTCTCTTCATATTTCCCAAGTGCCTACCAGTCTGCGTAGAGCCTCGAATCTTCTCTGAAGTGGAGGGAAAACGTCATATTAGGGCAGGATATGTACGGTAGAGCTGAAGGGTCAGAAGTAAAAAAGGCAGCACCTTCTGTGCCCGTAAAGCTAGAAAGCGGAGTTGAACGAATTCTCAAAGCACCATAGTTGTACTTTTGGCAACGTCCCTGTCCATTTATCTTTATCCCCCTCCTCAGTGAATCTAAAACTCACAGCCTAATTCAATTCTGTTCAATTTTTAGAATTGTGCTTTCGTGCCATGCTGTCTCCATGCCCACGTATCTTAAAAGACCACAACGAATACTTTAGCTATCTAAATCCTACGTTCTTTAAGTTACTAGGGTTTCCATCAGCATTTCACTGTCATCTCATTATCACCATTATGCGTTTTCTTTTACTGGTAAACACTTACTCTTGTTTTGGCAGTGTCGTAGTGTTGTGGATTAACAACTCCATTTGGCATTGAAATTACGCCGGTACATTCTCAGTCAGTAATGTCTAATTTGTGCCTTGCTTTAAAGCGTTTTTTGCTTAAATCTGGTATTTGGACAGTATCAGATTGTTTTCATTAACATCCCTGGTTGTCAAGGTCTGGTCTACAAAGCTCCATGACTTGAAATTGAGCATCTTCTTTTGTAGCAATAATTCTACTGATGAACCGCTTTGGAAGATCGCGAAACTGCTGACACACATAGAACTTTGCATGCTAGAAAAATGGTTATTCAGGATTGGAGTAAACGACAACGTCTCTATTCTACTCTCACAAAGTCTTGAATTAAAAAGCCAAGAAAAGTGTTACCGTGCAAGTGGTGGGAAGGGTTACCCATCTCCTCATAAGCTGTTACCATCAGAAGGTTATAGTTTTTTTGAAATTTGCATCTCAATGCTGCCTATTTTACCTTCGCTTTTTGTCAATCCGTCCACATCATTTGTAAGGTAAACGCTGTCATTTTTTGATCCGTTTCACAAAGCTAAAACAAGGAAATAAAGAGGAATGTTTATGCACTAAAATTAGCACTTCCAGCATTGCCCTCTGTGGCTTCTTGAAACGCCACCCATAAGGATACCTTTGATCTATTCGATAGAGATATCATTGTCCTTACGGCTTATTTTCTATAACGAGTCTTCTGCGCTTGTTCCCTTTCATTAACTTGTGTTTCAGCCCAAAAACACGAGTTTTATAGCTTTGCCAACCTCTGTTGTCTTTGTTCCATTTTGCCCCATTGTTAACTAATGCAAGCTGATTCCCATAACCTTGGATTCAAGTATAAATGTTAAGGGGACAGAACAGCGATTCTATCGGCTTCAGGCAACTCTCCACCTTCTCCCTCCTGATTGGAGGTGTGGGCATGGTAACCCATCCACCTCTTTGGAGGTGTCTCGACTGTTAATGCTGATCAATCCTGTGTTGCATGTAGCGTTCTATTTATCCCTGAAGGCGTTACAGGCACGCAAGTTTGGAAGTCGCTTCGTGATTGACGCTTAGAAGGGCCAAGATACAAGTAGCGTAGGCGGCATAAGACTGCACATCACCAGCATGAAGTCCACATGGCTAAATGTATCTTCTACCATTCACCTCTAGCCTACTGCGCTAATCGGACTGCTGAAATCGGCCCGTCTACTGCGCCTTATCAACGTGGCGCGCAAGTTGGATCGATATTCGGAGTATGGCACCGCAATTCTCGTCCTCCTCACCTCCGTCTTTGTTCTCATCGCTCACTGGCTGGCATGCATTTGGTGAGTCATTCAGCTCTTTTGACCTGTGGTACCCTTGTTAGCTCTAATGGCATAATAGGGTATACAAGTCTATCGGACACATGTACTATAGGTGTTGGGAAGACCTGAGACCCCAATGGCAAATGGTTTGAGTACGAGCTCTGTGCTACAGGCGTGTTGATTTGCAGGAAACTGAGAAGGTCCAGGTAATCATTTTATATGGTTAGAATGGGGACCATTTCTTTGAGCGCCATCTTTGGCATCCTCCGAGGTCACCCTTCTGTTTCAGCACTCACAATGAATGAGTTCAAAGTTCATATTATGATTTCACTATTATCATCGAGAGATTTTGAGAGCGTAATGATTCTCATGCTTTATTTGAGGCTGGACGATGTTCTAAGGCAGGCGTATTTCATGTGCAAGTCGCTTTTCATTGGAACCTTTAGCTAAAAGCGGCAATATTTAATAATACTGGTAATCTCTAAGGCAAATTACGTTTTTGACTTTTTCTCTCAATTTATGTTTCCACGTTAGTGCTGTCCAGTCGTCCATCTACGTTACGCAGCTTTTCGCTCCACGAAGGATATCGAGTTTTCAAAATGTGGTTACATATCACTGTTGTCGTTATCATTATAGTAAGCTCGTCTTAAAGAATGATTTTAAATCATTAAAGAGTGGTTTCGCTTCATCACTGGCCATTATAGATAGTTTGGGATTGGTATGACTCCCGAAATTCGATGTTTCTTCTGTAGCCCCTCTCTTGTGAGCCACCACAGATTATCATTCACTTTACGTGTTTCTTTTCACGACGCACCGGGATAATATCCATCCGGCGAAATAGGGATTGTGGGTTTGGAAACGCTCCCCTCCCCTTCTTCCCCCTCTACTCCCATATAGCCTTCGAGTTATCCCCCGAAGGCGATATAAGGCCTACGAGTCTAGGGGTAGCAAAATTATATATCTACTGGAGGGCCGGTATATCAGTGGTTTGGATGGCGTAGACACTGTGCCACTCACCTTTTTTTCCATGCTAACAACACGGAAGTCGGAGCGCTGAATACTGCAATAGCCCACGCAGCCAAGCACATAGTGTGCACTAAATATCATTCTGATACGCGTTGGTAGCTGCTGAAGTCTGACCACTTGATTTGAGCGGGAATTCACATGCCTAAGCTTTGGCTTATCATAAATTTGAAAAAAAAAACGACATTTGTGGGCGCGTTTTGTGGGTTTTGGTCGGGTTATTTCTGTGGTTGGCGAGTGCTGGTTTCTTCATTCTGAAATAAACCCATTGAATTTGATTAAATTGTCGATTAACTTCACCGCAGTAACTATGCAGCTATGGTGTTAGTCGACATATTGGGCTATTTGACTTTAAGCCTATACCGTGTTCAAACTGGTTGATCGATGCCATCATGGTGTTGTCTAGTTGTTCAGGACACTGGTAGGAAAGAAACAGAGGTTTATTTGAATTTTGGAGGTACGGGAGCAACTGCCGTTGATTTGTATTCCTTGTCCTCTTCCAAATGTTCGATGTTTGTCATCCATTAGGGAATGGATTTGTAGTGTGAAGGAGATTGTAGGTGGTAAGAAGTAGTGTTATAGAATTTGGCACACATCGACTCCCATGGAAATTTGATTGCTTCTATGATATAATTTCTGTAATGATTACTCTCGTTCTCCAGACGCCATTTATCCATGCCAGTCGTAAAACCTGTTTTAGCAGACACGAATGTGCTCTTAATGTCGTAGGTATGCTTGTTGATTGTCCTCCGAACATTAGTACTAGGAAAGGTTAGGGGATTAAAACACCACGGGTAACGGTATTGTTAAAGTAAATGACAACTCATCCCTGGGTCACGCATACTGGTTGACAGGTTTGGTCTCGTTGAAACGTTTAGGGTCTTCTCGAAGCACTTTTTTCAAGTCCAGGTCTGATAGCCGTCTCTAGAGTTTGGAGGTAGATCTTCGTATTCCCTTTTTATGAGGCGGCGGTGGAGGGGCCTTCCTGAAACACATTAAGATCTTTGAGGAGCTCCCTTAATATTGTAGGACTTAACTGCCTCTTCCGTTTAAATGTGGACTCTCGGATTGATTTTAAGTCCATTTTTGTGTAATAAAAAGGTATAGCATTACTTTAGTTGATATTTTTGCACTCTTTGTTAGTGGAGTTGTCGAGCAAGCATTACTCCGACGGCACCTTATCATCCATTTTTACCAATGAAGTATACATCGTCGGTAGAAGTTTCGTGTTCCCGCATAGTGGACTTCATTTAAGTTGTATTTTGTGTCTCATGTCCGCTTCAAAATGTACGATCCCCATTGCGAAGAAAATGGGTTGCAGGAATACCAGTAAGCACGGAGGTATTGGCCTCAATTACGAGATTTCGTACACTTATCCAGTTGAGGGTTGAATTGATTTTGAGTGAAAACTAAAGCCAATTTCCATGGTAAAATAAAAAAGCGATGAAAAAAATATCCACGTGAGGTAATTTTTTGGCAAGGAACAGCACGGGCCACTATTCTGCGAAAACAAATGTTTTTTCAATTCGTCTGTCAAGTTAATTTACCATGTCAAGATTCTTTACAGCTCCCGCTCCTCCTGATTGACTCTCAAAATAGGCGGAAATTCTACATCTTTGGAAAAGCAAGGCCTGTTGAGTCACCACCTACCTCCTTATTGCCAAGTCAAGTGACAACTGCCGAAATGAATGTTAGCCAAAACAGATGGCATTAGGCCGTTGCAAGAGTTACCGTCTAGGCAGATAAGTTGCAACAAATTTTGGACCCAGTTTGCATTATGGGCTTTTGAAATCACCCCGAGGAGCGTGCCAACTTGAAAAGATATCAGAATGCAGGAACGACACGAAATGGCCCTGTGGATACTTCACTTTACGAGTGAACTTTCTTAATGGACATTCCTCAACAGTACGCTATCAGTGCCACTAGTGTACGACGTGCTCTTGATCAGTTCATGATAGCTTTTCACACCGGACCCCATGGCGAACACACTAATTCACTTCAAACAATAAGGAGACGTAGGATATTCCCAATCTGGAGATAAAGGTTTGTTTTAATTTTCCCGAGTATCATTGCAGCGCAATTATTACATAGGGAGCACATATTTTATCGTTCGTAAGGGTTGACTTTTTACAAAAACCCTGGCGACAAACATGTTAACCTATCGCTTCAATTCACGTTGATGAAAGATAAAATCATATTATCATAACTGCGACTATTTTGGATTGTTTTCAAAACAACTGCTGTGTTGTTCGGGCAGTTTAGCGGTTCAGGGGATAATGTGGGTATTAAAAACAATGCTTGAAAATGAAAGAATTGTGGTGGATGATACATATCTATGCCACACATGTATCCAGAATATGAAGTCACTTATTTAAATTTTTAGACAGTTCCAAACTATCATTGCTGGAAGTCTGATTGGTGCTTATTTACAGGGAACCCTCCATCAAAAAGTAATTTATAGAAAAGAGAAGGAAGTCACCTGAAAGCCTAACTGTTAAGGAACCGGAGTTCTGTTCTGCCACCTCAAGAATGACTTTGACAGTTTTGACAGCATAAAATTCGCTTTCTTTTTCAAGGTCAAAAGTTTAAATTTACGTGTACTGTTTGGGAAAAATGGTCTGAATCTCACAGTGGAGGCCTTATTTGGAGAAGCCATTGATCTAAGCAAACCGTACAGAGGTGAGAATTGAATTGGTTGCGTGTCATTTGCATTCTATTGCGACGCCATTGACGTCACTTTAATGTTCCATTAGCAACACGATGAGCCTTAATGTTTATGCATAGGTGGATGCTTTTTAATTCGGCCAATGATAACGATAATGTCCCTGATTTTTCGCAGCTCCTGTCCAATAGGGCGCTGATATTGAGGCTACAGGTGTGAGGATTATTAAAGCTTTGCGAGGCAAATTAGTCTTGCTTCACGACTGATGCTTTGGCGGCTTAGAGCTCATTTAAGAGTTACATTTGAGCCTGCTCCATCGCATCATGATGGGTAATATTCTTTCAGTAAGTGGGCGGATTTAATCCTCTGAACGAAGATGCTCTAATTCTTTAGTGAGTCATCGAATTGGGTTACGAGGTCATTATTGGCTGTGAGGTGCTCTTCTGTCAAACTCACATGTGGGCATTTGTCTTTTAAAATCCTAGGTGATCGGTTATTGACTGGTCTGAATATTCAATTCGGCTGTTGACAACCTTTGCCATTTTCAACGCTTGGGTTTAGGTATGGAAAAGGGAAATATTTACAACCTTTAGACCGAAATGTCACCATCTTACGAGTAAGGAGTATTCGAATTCAGTCTCCTCTGGAATACCGTTGTGAAGCTACTACAATGGTACAGACAGCTGGATATACCAACGCACGTTGATTTTTGGAAAGTTCTTGTAGGCTAGTGATTTTGTAGCACGTTGGTCGATTGCTGAAGTGGGAAGTTCTGTTCTGGCCGACATTATTAATTTCAAAACAAACTTCAAGGTCATGTATGTGACCTGAATTGAGTCAAAAGTGTTTTGAATGCAGCAAGATTTGATGTGACTGCTACTCGCACAGTGCTGGGTCATTCGAGGCAACCAGGAGGGTAAGGAGGATGGATGGCCCAATAGATCCCATCCCGTGATTTAGACCGAATGATATCTTCGAAGTGTGTCTTCATTGCAAAATAATTGTCGTAATCTAGTATTCGCCAGCTAAAAAACTAGTGATGTTGGTTTTGTGGCCTAAAGCCTGGTTTTCATTAACTTTTGCATCTTTTAATATTTGTCGAAATCATTTGACGAAATTATAAAAAGGTGGGGAAGTTTACGGGCACGCGGTCATGATACAACTCCTCATGATCATATCACTCGCATAGATCCCATTGCATAGGCGATTTTGCACTATATGACCACTTTTTGGGAATCAGAAAGGGAGTGACTTACAACTTCACTTCCTCCCAGGCGAGTGGTATTGACAATCCTACGTCAACTATTCCTTCTAATTCCAATTCTCCCAACTAAAAGATCTAACAACCGCCATTTGGAATATGCGACTGGATTTCGGTTCTTATTGTTGGTTTATTGGTCTGGTGTGACGCCTGAATTGTTCTTGATGATATTGTATAGCATAGAAATATGGAAATAACCCTACTTTGGGATATGGAAGCCCTGGTAGACTATCAGAATAGGTCTATGCCTCGAGAGACTACAAAGGCCTGCGTATTCAATTGCACAAGTGGAACAAGTATGGTTCCGCTGCGCAGTCCTGCTTCAAGCGCCTGCTTTGGTCTTCTCGATTAGTTTTTTGATCTGTGATCAATCGCGAGTTCCGTTTTTTCATCAATGCTTGTGTATGCCGTGGTTTAAGATGGAATTTCTAGACATCACGACCTCCGTTAGGTGAGGTCCATTAGAAACATTCCTACAGTGTGTACATTCCTTTCGTATAGCTTTTCAGACACGTAGTTTTCTTATAGCACATAGAAATGTGTCATCAGCTCATAAGGATGCTACTTTTGTAAGCTCTTCTTTAAAAGTAATTTTTTTTTCAATTTGACCTCCTTCTGCTACCCAGAACTTGAGAGTAAGCTAGTTACCAAAAGCCGATGCCGTTTCGGTAGTCCTTCCATTGTGACTCCTCGTGCTTTAAGTCATCTACACCAGGCATCTTCTGATGTCAGTGAAAAGTGGTACTTTTCTTCTATCAGGAGATATTGGGACACCTCCGGAAGCAGCAGATGTGGGAGATGACTGTCCTAGTTGAATGCTCATATTTATCATTCCACCACACTAGTGAGAGATAAAATAATTGTTAGAGAGCTCTGCGTATTGTGGAGGCTAATTTCTCTTTTATTTATTACAGGTACGCAATCGGTAACGCGGAACACCAGCACAGCTCCACGAAGATCGGGTGGTTGGCAACTCTGGCGGAGCAGACACGACAGTTCTACAATGAGAGTCCCTGCTCCGGGCCCACTTTACAGACGAAGTACATAACCGCGCTCTACTTCACTTTCTCCAGCCTCACCTCCATCGGCTTTGGTAATGTCAGTCCCAACACCAATGCGGAGAAGATCTTCTCTATTGTGGTGATGCTTGTTGGTTGTAAGTCTTGTTGCTCTAACGGTTTACTTCTCTTTTTTTCATTCCGTGTGAAACACTCACTCCTTCATACGCGTCAAGACTATGCCTGTCGGGGTTCACAAGTTTCAGCAAATCCTACTTGTTACGTATCCAAAAGCCGAGTAGACTCCGTAGACTTTTAATTTATGATGATGAGAAAGCGGTGTGCTTTTCGCCGCGTACTGAACTGTCCATATCTATAAAACACTGGGAAGGTTCTGGTGCCTCGGTTACCCCTGGTGACGTCGTGGGGCAGACGAGTGTGGTGATTTTATTGCTAATGCATAGAAAATCTGGGAGGTGATATGACCAGGACTTCAGAATACTGACACGGAGGTCGAATTGGGAGAGGTCAAAATGGTCTGCATAGTTAAGTCAACTGTTCAAAACAAATGCCATTTCTGCATAACCATTTTCTTCTTTTTAATTGTCATCCTCGAGGTTCTCGACGGTCACTCCTGACGGCTTAGACCTTCATAAGCCAATCATATGTGATTACATACTGCGAGGCGAATGCAAAAATCATATGATTGTCATCACGTTATTTCTTATCGCAAAATGTGGCATAGAGAATAATTTGTTAGGCATTGTGTGTGTTAATCACTTTTGCGTATGATGAGACGTCTACATTTCTCTCCTTTCTCATTCTTTCAATGGAGGCACTTCCTTGAGGCCGATTTACATTATTCGCCTACGCTCTCCCTTCGTTAGCAGTAGCCATTGCAAAACTTGAAATTGTCACGTTTGTCAAAAGGTGATGCGGTCTCCATGGTCTCTTGATCATGGCCCGCTGCGGATTCATACATCTGCAATAGATAGCTTTCTTCTATAACACTTTGGTGTAGTATTGTCCAACTAACCGGAAGAGAGGCTGAGCTCTCCGAATGGATTTGCTTTCGCTGGCATCAATGTGTTTTTCTCTGAAGAAACTAAGAAGCGTGTGAGTTGGGAAGAACCGATGATTTGTAACTCGGTTAAGTGACAATGAAATGATTTGTTCTACCAGCGTATAAGCGAATTGACGGATGACCAAAAAGTCGGTGTGGCTATCTTTGTAAAATTGAAGTTTCTTTCATTCTGCTACGGTGTTTAGCTAGTGTCTAAATTTTTAAGTGACACTGTTTCTCCAATACCCAGTGGATTGAGCGGTTGTAGTGTTTATATTTGCTATGAATCGCAATAGGCAAAAAATTATGTTAAAAATGACCTCTCATCTCAATTTCCTCGATAATTTAGTAGTCAAAAGGTTTTTCAAGTCACAAATCGCAGTGGCGCAGAATCCTACGTTTTGACCGTAAACGTCCTCAAACACCGGCATTCTCACGGCCAAGAGGGTTTTTTTAGTTCCTTTGCATCATTTTGAGCGTTGCCGTTCTGACAGCACTTTGTGTCACAATTTGTTATTCATCTCAAGGCATTATATATCAATAAACCGTCAAAGTACTTCCTGGAGTTTCCCCATATTGTTCATTTGACATGATGGAATGTGTGTGTTTCATTCATAGTCAAGTACTGCCTTATAAAAGAAGGACTGCGATTTCATCTTAAAATAATTTACTTTTCTTTTTGATACATGCGTTGCTGCAACAACAAACTGATTTTATTTAGTCTGTGTTGTCTTTTCCTTAAAAAAGACTAAACTCTTAGATTTATCTTAAGTGGAGCATTTTAGTCCTATTTGGAAGAAAACATGGGTTTTGGCTGTTCGCCTCGATATGAATTTGTTCCAGCTATTTAATGGTTTTATCTCTTTCGACTTCATTGTCTGAAAGGGCTACCAGTTGAAACTTACTTGGATCCCTTAATACTTCTTTGATCTTCCCTGAGGTCTGCAAAGACTGACCCAAAAGTAATTTTCATCTCAAACAACTTCGTCATTAGAGCAACTTTCATTGTCCTTTCAGACAGTCTAGGAAGGCAATTTTGGATGAATAGATGGATGAGCTTAACCACGGAATCTTTTTAATGCACTTGAATATTTAGGGTATGCAATTTAATTTAGGAGATTTGAAGAGGTGGGAATAATGCGGTCAGAAATCCAAGGCTGGATTGATCATTTCTGCCCAATCTGTTCATGATTGTTTACTGACTTCCACGTCCGTGCTATTGACAGTCCCCTATACCGTATGGTACCGCATTTGGTGCTTCAATCATATCTGGATACGTAATTTGGGAACATCAGTCAATCAACCTCCAGAAAGGCTGGGAGACTACTAGCGCAAATGACAGGAACAGGACGCCATGCCACCCAGTATGGTAGTCAAACTGCTGCAACTGAAGGGTCCGCGTGAATAGGCAACTAAAATACACATCCTTTTGTTGCTTAACGATGCACTATTGGTTCTTCTTGCATCATCTACGGATATTGGCTTTTGGAAAATGCTTTTCCCCGAACAAATTACATTGGTTTACGGCTAACCGAGGTGGAGGTTTGCGATTTGTCTCCATCTACGTTTGCCTGTGAATGTACACCAATACATTTGCAGTAAATGATAGAGTTATCCACCCCTATATAGCCTTTAAACTCTCTATCTTTGTCCTCTCCCAGTTGGCCTTGATTGATTTGCTAGTACCCGTTTCCGATTCACCTCGGGTGTACTATTAATCATTGCTCTGTTGCTTTACTTCACATTACCCCAAGGGATTTACTACCCTCTTAATACCCCCTAGGTCAGACCATTGAAAGTCTCCATCTCCGCATAGGACCACTTTGCTGGTTGAATAGAGGACTGGGTGCCATACCACTGTTCCCTTTTCATTGTTCTCGAGATTTCGATTTGTAAAAAGCACCTAAATTATCTATGTCCCAGCAATATCTGGCTTCCTGGTCAGTAGACACATTATCAAAATTATGGACTCCTTGAAATCCTTGTTGACTGTTCGCCAACACTCTTGGATCGGTCTCTCTTCTTATGTTTTAGGCATTATTTTTTATGTTTACCAGGAAGAACCCGCTGAATTTTACTTTTCCTAGTAGTCTTACTTTTGAATTATTGAATTAGTATGCCCTTTGATCTTTCCATTAGACACCTGCAATGATCCTGATCAAACGACTACGACCTCTTTCTTTACTGAGACCTATCCAGCTGAAACTGCATATACAAACCATTCTCTGATCAACTTTAAGTCTAAATGGAGTATTCTTTCTCCTCTATCATCTGATTGAGGTTTCTAACTGTGGAACGCATTCCTTCAGTGGTTGGAAGTCTTCGTATCCTTTTTTCATAATTTATAACATCCCAGTAGTGATGTTTGGCTTAAAATGGTCGTTCCTTTTAAACCTTTTCCAATGGTTTAAGTGCATAGTTTTGTCCCTAGGCCAGATAAACGAGTACTTTCCAGTCTTGATACCATTGTGTTCGAGGCTATTATCTGTAAAAAGCGACACGTTTTCTCTGTTTCCGCATCAAAATCTCATTCATTCTTCCACAATGACAAGATTGAACTTTCTATCCACTGGAATATCTCCTTAAGAAGTAGGCCTTCTATGAGTGCTCTAACTTCGCCATTTATCATTGCGAATCTTAACTGCCTGGGGTCTGGTTATTTCGATCCTAGTTATTTTCGGCGGGAAAAACTCGGACTTACTTCCGCTGTCATAGTAACAAGATCCGGCCATCCAGTTATTGGAATTGTGCTCTTGAAATGTCAGTTCTTTTGAAATCCTCATTGTTGACCTATAGCGATTCGGGTTTATTTGTTTTGGATTAAAAAATTGGGTTAGATTATTAATACCCCCCATCCTCCCAGGGTTGATGCTAACACAGGTAGTTTTGGTGCTTACCGGCATAATCCATCCGATTGTCTTAGCTTCACATTGGGTTTTCAAATCGTTTGGTTGAAAGGAATTAGTAAATCCCATACTCGGAGTAATCTTTCTATGTTTGTTTATGCAGCATCGCTGAAGTTGAAGTGGATTGCATTTTTAAACTTCCAGTTCATCATTTGTCGAATTTAATAATGAGGTCGGGAAATATGAAACCAGCACCACCCTTGATGCGGTTCTCAGACTAGTTTTACGCGTTTTTTATGCCAGCTTTAGTGTTGATTAGGCAAGATATCAACAAGTTCCTGGTGTTTTGAGCATTCTTTTTGACAATCCTCTCAAGGACGCCTCAAGCAGTCATCTAAAGTTTTGAATTCATGGGAAACGTGATCATGGAAATCTTCGACTTTGCAATCTTCACTTGTGAATGCCGTTTTTAGAAAAACCATTATCTTGCTGAAGCCTGAGAGATCTTTTCCGAGCAACTTTACCGATCTATGACTTGATAATCCTCTTAAATAGCTGGATATAGTCTGTATGGAATTACGGAAGCGTCCTTGTCTTCATCTCTTTCCTGTGGTTTCTGTCGACTTCCGCAACCATATTACCTTTTTCTCTGTGATGAAGCAGGATAAGCGTTTTATCAAGGGGTTGTGTTTTTCAATTCCGAAGGGTCGAGTGGCAGCATTGAAGGAGTTTTTATTGACAGTTCTATTGACAAAGTGGTTCCTATCAAAAAAATGAATGATAAAGCATCATGGATACCGTGAGTATGCATATTTCCCACCATTCGCTCTTTGTTCACGCAGATTCTACTCAAAGGAATAAAAATTTTCCGTCTTAAATGTTTGGATGCAAACTACAGTATGTCTTGTGATCTCGTGGGAAAAGTGGGGTGGCACGACATGCTCCCCGTCATCCGCGTTGAAGTTTCGCGTTTTCCCAACGCCGGCAATGTTTGCTTTTCTACGATAAAAAAAGTTCTTAGGAGTTCAAATTCTAAGCCCTAAGGAATCTGACGACAATGTTTGAGAGGATTCAATTTCTCAGGACTACGACACTATTGATGTCGGCATGTCTGCTCACAATTCGAGGATTTAAAAACCACCTGAACTTTTTAGAAGCTCTCTGCTCCCCAAAGGTGTAGACGCGGAAGGCTCTCCATTTTTTTCCTTCGACGCTTTTCAGCTCTTATGTACGCCAGCATCTTTGGCAACGTAAGTGCCATCATTCAGCGGCTCTACAGCGGCACAGCGCGCTACCATGCCCAGATGCTACGCATCAAGGAGTTCATCCGCTTCCACCAGATTCCGGGACAGTTGAGGCAGCGGCTGGAGGAGTACTTTATCCACGCATGGGCTTACACTTACGGCATCGATATGAGTGTCGTCCAACGCTCTTTCCCCGAGTGCCTCCAGTCGGACATTTGCATGCATGTTTACAAGACCATGCTCAAGACGACCCGGGCCTTTGAAGGTGCGTTTAATTGTTTTTTTTTCGCCTATTGTAATCCCTTTCTCTGGTGCAATGTACCAACAATAAGAATCGACACATTCCCTTCAATTCGTTGAAAACATTACTCCACGCTTATCTTCATGATGAAACTTTTTTCGAGCTCATACTAAATGTGAATATTTGTTTGATTGGTTCCTGAATCTGTTTCACTGCCAATAAGCATCGGTGCATTCCTTGAAGTAAATGTATATGCGTTTCAATGCTGGCCAGAATCTGCCTCTATTGGAGGGATTAAAGTAGATGTTGAGAAATGGATTTCACTCTCGGCTATACTGCAACTCTGCGAGCTAGCTGGAGTTCTTAAATTGTGTTAAGCCATTCGTTTGCCACGGTCTCCTTTGATTTCACCGCAAATGTAATGATAACCATCTTATTAAGATAGTAGAGTGTAGCTACGCTCCTCCCTCCACTTGAGCAAATGCTCTTGAGTTGCTTTCGAAGGTGCGGCTACACATGAATGCCTACCCACTTTAATATGCTTGTGCCAGTGGTTTAAAGAATCTCCAAAATATAGTTCAGTGTCAACAAATATTTCTATTTCATTAAATCGGTGACTGTTATTTTTTTTTCCTTCTATACGTTTCATTGCTTTCGAGTTACTTCCGAAGATGCATCAAAGTGTGAATGACTTGAGGCTAGAGGAGGAAGTGGTCTGATCTGCGTCATGTTGTAGACTGAGTTACCATCCAATCATGTTTTGTTCAGCCATCTATCGTCCATTTCCCCTAGGGGTGAACAAAGGGCATACAATAAGTGGATTCAACGGTCCGCTTCAATGCATTTTCGAACGTCCCCGAAGATATGGTATTAATATCTAGTTGATAAAACCCTTCTAGGGTCTTAAGTAATTTTTTATTCAACTAACGATTTAGCCAGTTGTTATTTATCCACATCCCTGTACCTGTTTTGATAGTGCTGATTTATTTTCACAGACGAATCTAGACTTTGAAGATTTGATGCCAGAGGTCTGGGTGGCACTGTTTGGATCATATGGTAGACTAGGCATGTGGCGTTTTGGGATCTGTCCCTATCTAGCTGAATGATGAATTCTGTGGAGTGTGGATTCGACCTCGCTGTGATGGGATTTTTAAGAGCTCTAAAGAATGCTTAAGCGTCATTTTGACGAAGCTCTCTTAAAACTCCAGATTGGAGACTGGATGTGTAAGCAACATGATCTGAACCACGTAGCAGACTAGATTTAAATCAGGATGCTGACCAAGAAACTAAATTTTACCGTTTGCGGAATCGCATTTCCCAAAATCCATCAAAACGGTGATTACTTACTCCAGTTGGGTTAACAAGTCAGTGATGCTGTTGCCAAGACCTCATGGCAGCTCAAGATATGAGCCATCGCCAAGTGTAGCAAACATGAATTGGCCAGGGTTAATGGGTAGTCCTAAATAAATAAAACCCATTGTTTGTTTATTTCAACAGTAATTAGAAGATTCCACTTTGTCAAAGTTCCATTTTCCCAACCTTCATCAAGATGTGCAGATCAGCTGGTTTCGGTACATTCATTAGAGCCTGGGAAAATAACAAAATGTTTACGAAATTCATTTGATTTATTTTACCGAAATTTGTAAGTGCTAACTTGACCTCTTGGTACAATTAGGCGATTGACCAAGTAGTAGATCACAACCGCTATTGTTCGCTACTTCTGCTTGTTTCACGGTGTGTCATAATTTTGACTTAGCTTTGAACGTCATTGAATTATTGGGATAGCCGAGTCTCACTGTAGTGTTGATAATTGCGAATCAAGGTTTAACGTGTTTCTCCCCAGTCCAGTCTACCCACCTGTTCCTCTCTCGGTCACGTGGCACAAAGTGGGCGGGTTTTTTGGCTGGGCTGTGACGGAGATGTGTTTGCCGCTTGCTGCTTATCTGGTTGCCCCGCTCTGTTGTGGTGTCTTGATGGCCATAAGCTGAGCACTTTGCCGGTGCCTTCTGTTAGAGCCGGCCTTGCAGAATTCCCATCCGCGCCCTTGCCTCAAAGCAGCCGCCTTTATGGCTCCAGCACCTGCAATAAGTATCAGCAGATGGAGGAGGCGGCAGTCTGCACTTGTGATCAAAACGCCTTTTCAAATAAAACGCATGCGCTGAGGAGAGGGGTGGAATTGGCATACTCTTATCAGTCAGTCGTCTCCGTCTTTTTGTACGCAATCCGCTGCCCTATTTTTGTGTTCGCCACCGACCGATGATACCTACAGATGCTACGTCAATTCACTTGTTCCCGTGTTGTCAGTTTGGGCAGTTGAGAAATTCCCCTTATCTTATAACTTCAGAAGAGTTTCGGAAAAACAGGCCTTTCCTTTCAAAACTCTTCGTTCTCATTTCATCTTTGAGGGATTCTCCGTCGGTGTTGCTTCTAAGGAAATTGCAAGAAAATTGAATCCAGGAGATAGCTTTAAGCCTACCTGGAGATTACAGACATGGATAGTATGCGCAGAGTTCTGTCTGCTATAGAAGACTGAAAATGCTAACATTTTCCGCCACATTGAAATCTCTCATGGTCATGTAGGTTGATGTCGAGGCTACAATCAGACTAGTGGGATGCCGCTTAAGACGTGTTTCAAGCCATACTCACTTAATCCTTTGTCATCAATTAGACAAAGGAGAAAATATTTACTCAAAAAGGTTGAAATATATTAAGTAAATAATTTTTACTCGCATTTTATTGAAACAAATTCCACGAGTCATGCGAAGGAGTTTCACAATTGCCACTTGCTGTTGGTACTTTTGATCTCGAGTATATGTTTTACTGCCTCTCTGTTACTCGATTTTTGATATTTCTTGAAATTCCAATCTAGTAGATATATGCATAGTTTGGATATCTGTGTGGTAGAATCTTAATACGAAATTAGCTGATTCAACTTTCTAAGATGTCAAGCCCGTTACTAGGATCGGTCTTAGGAGAGAATTGGCCACCACAATCTAGATGTTTTATAATTCCACTGGCACCAATTGTCATTTATTTGATTTATT